TGCCAGCAGGGCCCTTCGGCGGAGCTCCCTGTGGGGCCACGGGAGGGGGGGACGCATGCGGGCGGTGTCACTCGGGCCTTCGGTGGAGTTCCCTACGGTGCCACGAGACGCTGTACTGGGTGTGGCTGACGCACGCGGCCGGGCTACTGGAGCTCCCTATGGGGCCACGAAGCGCTGTGCTGGGTGGTGGCTGATGCACGCGGGCGATGCCACTGGTGCCTTCGGTTGAGCCCCCTATGGGGCCACGAAGCGCTGTGCTGGGAGGTGGCTGACGCATGCGGGCGGTCCCACTGGGACCTTCGGTAGAGTTCCCTGTGGGGCCACGAAACGCTGTGCTGGGTGGTGGCTGACGCATGCGGGCGGTGCCACTGGGACCTTCGGTGTAGCCCCCTATGGGACCCCGAAACGCTGTGCTGGGTGGTGGCAGACGCATGCGGGCGGTCCCACTGGGACCTTCGATGGAGCTCCCTGTGGGGCCACGAAACGCTGTACTGGGTGGTGGCTGACGCATGCGGGCGGTGTCACTGGGGCCTTCGGTGGAGCTCCCTACGGGGCCACAAAACGCTGTACTGGGTGGTGGTTGACGCATGCAGGCGGTCCCACTGGGACCTTCGGTGGAGCTCCCTGTGGGGCCACGAAACGGTGTACTGGGTGGTGGCTGATGCATGCGGGCGGTCCCACTGGTACCTTCGGTGGAGCTCCCTATGGGGCCACGAAGCGCTGTCCTGGGTGCGTGAAAAGCAAGGAGGATGGAGGGGGGGGGAGGAGGGGGAGGAGGAGGAGAGGAGGAGGGACGCGGGGCGCTGTCTCTTCAAACCGAGGACCCAACAACACAGGTTGGTTGGGAAACACATTCTCCAACGAGGCGCCAACAGGATGGCACGCCCCACGACCTCAGGCCAAGAGCGTTCAAAGATGGCCCGATCTGGTCTCAAGACGGCCCAAGAAGCGCCCAAGACGCTCGAGGAGGATTTCCAGGAGGACTTCGAGAGGCCCCGAAGACGCGAGCAGCATTGATTTTGCCTGGGTTTTGGGGCGATTTGTTGGCGGTACTGCCTTTTCGAGCTGCCGAACGTCCTGGACGGCTCAAGAGGCCCAAAGATCGCTCCAAAATTGTACAGAGGGGGCCCCGAAAGGCAACCCGAACAGACATTTCGAACTCTCGGTCCCGAAGCGAAGGCGCCAGAGTCGGGCACGCAAGCGTGCCCGTTCCCTTTTTTGGGAGAGGTGCACGAGGCCGTGGCCTCATACCGTGTCCAAGAGGCGCCCAGGAAGCCCCAAGAGGCTCCCAACAGCCCCCAAAGAGGCCCCAAGAGGCCACAACAGGCCCCCAGAAAGGCCCGAGAGGCCCCCAAGGAGTCCCACCAGGAGGCACCCCCAGAGGCCGGAAAACTTATCCCCAGAGGCTCCTGGGAGCCCTCTGAAGAGACACCGAGAAGAATGTATGACGACTCTGCCTCACAACCCATGTACGTCTCGAAACTCTGCTGGGGCTCTCTCGGGCCATCTTGGCGCCCTGTAGGGCAGTCTATTGGCTCCCTTCGGCAGGGTGCGAGCCACATCTTGAAAGATCTCCTCGAGGACAGTCCTGCCTGCCCGACCGTTTCTGATGGGTCAGAGCACACCATCATGCAGCCACGGGGATACTAAACGGGCCAGCGGAGTGAGCGAGGCGATTCAATAATGCTACCTATACGACCACCCTTCGGGTGATAAGGAGGTTCGGGGGGGAGGACGTCTCACTCGATCGGTCTCACTGTCGATCTCACTATCGATCTCACTATCGGTCTCGCTCGATCGATCTCACTCGATCGATCTCACAATCGATCTCTCTCGATCTTTTTCATTCAATCGATCTCACAATCGATCTGACGATCGATCTCACAATCGATCTCACAATCGATATCACTATCGATCTCACAATCGATCTCACATTCGGTCTCACTATCGATCTCACTATCGATATCGCAAGCGATCTCACAATCAACGTCATCATCATCAACAACATCATCGCCATCAACGTCATCAACATCATCATCATCACCTCATCACCATCATCACCATCATCATCAACATCATCAGCATCACCATCACCATCCTCGGAACACAATCATCGTTACCATCGTCATCACCATCATCATCATCATCAACATCATCATCATCATCGGGACACCATCATCATCATTGGAACCCCACCATCATCATCATCATCGGAACACCATCATCATGGACAACATCATCCACATCATCATCATCATCTTCATCATCATCATCATCATCATCGGAACACCAGCATCATCATCATCAGCAACATCAGCATCATCAATATCATCATCGGGACACAACAATCATCGGCACCAGCATCACGATCATCGGGACACCATCATCATCAACACCATCATCATCAGCATCACCATCATCGGGCCACCATCATCAAAATCATCATCGCCGCCTCATCATCATCCTCATCATCAACATCATGATCATCATCGGGACACCATCATCGTCATCATCATCAACCTATTCATCATCATCATCATCATCGGAACACCATCATCATCAACATCAGCATCATCACCATCATCGGGACACCATCATCGAAATCGTCATTATCATCTAACCATCATCCTCATCATGAACATCATCATCAACATCGGGGCACCATCATCATCATCATCAGCAACTGCATCATCAACCTCATCATCAACATCATCGGGACACCATCATCATCATCATCTTCATCATCTCATCATCATTTCATCATCATCAACATCACCAGGATCAGCATCATCATCAGCATCATCATCGGGATTTCATCATCATGAGCATCAGCAACATCATCATCATCAACATCATCGCCATCGGGACACAATCATCATCACCATCATCATCACCATCATCATCACCATCATCACCATCATCATCATCATCATCATCATCATCATCATCATCCTCGGGACACTATCATCATCAACACCATCATCATACATCACCATCATCATCGGGGCACCGACGTGACACCGGCGGGACACCGGCGGGACACCGCGCCCCACCGGACGCCGGAAGGGAGTCATTTGGTCCGGCCGCGCCTCAGCTGGAGGCGGGACACCGGCGGGACACCGCGCCCTACGGGTTGCCGGAAGGGAGTCATTTGGCCCCGCCGCGCCTCAGCCACAGGAGACTTTCTTCTCGCCCGCCCGCGCAGCTTCGCCTCGCCCGCACGCACAGCACGCACGAACACGAAACCGAAATCGATTTCCTGGTAGGGGGGCTCTCCGTTCCACTTCGATCTCACCCCCTCCCCTCCGATACTCCCAGGCGTATCAGTGGCAAACCAAATGCGTGACCTCATTACCAAACTGAAGAGACAATGCGGAGTCCTCGTGGCTTTGGCTGCGCAATGCCGCCATCGCGCTTCCGGGCATGGGTCCAAACAGCGCCCGATGGGGCAGCCCCCCCCCCCCCCGCGGCTCGTAACGCAGAGACGCGCCCAGCGGCACCCAATCATACATGCACTTGATATTCATTCACCAGCACAGCACTCCGCTGCGCACAAAAGTGAACACGACATGCAGCAGGCAAGCCCAGAAAGGACGAGGAGAATAAGTAGATAAGTGGAGAATCGTTCATGCCATGCGCAGCGAACCACTATGGCATCTTCAACTCTCGTACTCGCGTGTCCATAGTATCGCAAATGCACTCGCTCATCATTGACAGCGCCTTACACAGCGAGGTCAAGATCTCGCTTCTCATCTAGTACGGACGCGGGGAATGTCTGGGTTGCTGGCTGGCATGCGCCTGCTACGCAAGGTGCTTGTTTGTCATACCCCGCTGCCCATGTTAATTTTGAAGGCGGCTCTGCCCTTCACGGCGCTTGGCTCGATGAGGGCCACTGTGCCTCACTCAGCCACTGCTCAGGAGACCATCTGCCGTAGACCCTTGTACTGGAGGGAAGGCAAGTCTCACCTGCAACTCTCCTCTGAACACCTCTCTGTGCCCCTGTCTCGTTCTCTCTCTCTCTCTCTATATATATATATATATCCCGTCCTCCCACTTCTCTCACTCTCTCACTCTCACACTGGCCTTCTCCTACACTAGCAAGCATCTCACCATGGCGCTACTCCGCAGCTTGCGAGTGGTGGGCTCTTCGCCTGACTCTCTCTGCTGCTTTAGTTCAGAATACTGCGGGGGCAGTGGTTCGACACCCTCGTCGAGGTCAACCTACGTGCATTATTTACTCGATATGGTTATGCTTCGGGCATTCCGAAAGCTGCAACGAGATCAACATCAATGTTACAGCTCGCCCAGTTCCCCCTCCACGCCTCCCAAACGTCAGAAGAAGCGCAGCTGGATAGCCGCTCCAAGCACATCGTTTGAAACATCGCGCGGGCACCAGGGACCCAGGATTCAAGCACCTTGTCTAAATCAGCGGAAAACAAAGTAAACATCATTCCTCGGAGATCGGCGCGGATCTCTTGGATCGGCGCTGGACCTCCTTCCCTGGCGCGCGGGGCGCGTCAAGGAGGGCGACGGAGACGCAGCCAGGGGGGCACATCGCCGATCCGAGAGATCCGCGCGGAGCTCCAGGAAATGGACCCCTCTCCCCCTTCCTCCCCTCCCTCCCTCGCGCGCCCTCCTGTCGTCGTTTCGTCTTGTCGTCCGTCGCTCGCCTGGCTTCTGTCGGGCCACAGGGGCCCTCCGTGCTGTTTATAAAAAGGCGAATGCAGCTTGTTGCTCCCCAATCAGTGCTTGCACTGAAGGGGTCCTAGCGGATATTGAAAAACTTGGCGAAAAATTCGCGCCGAATTTGGTGGCCGGCTGGGTTCCTGGGTTCCCGGTTCCGGGTTCCCGGGTTCCTGGTTATTGCTTCCGGGCCGATTTCGGAGGATTCCGGATTCTCGGGTTCCTGGGCTCCCCGGTCGATCTCCGTATCGATCTCTTTCTCGATCCCATTTCAAGCCATCCACTGATTGGGCGCTCTCTCTGGTGTAATTTTTATTAGACTTTTAGCGCCCATCCATCAAAAGATGGTAGCAGACGCCCTCATACGCGCCGGCCGCACGCGCATCCGTCACCGGCGCAGGCGGGAGCTCTGCAGCACGACGTAGCCACCTCCCCGGGGGGGCACGCGCAGCAGAGCGAAGCAAAAGCCCGAAGACGCTTCACAGCAGGAATGCGTCCTGGAGGGAGGAGGAGGGGAGGAGGGAGGAGGAGGAGGGAGGAGGGAGAAGGGAGGAGGGAGGAGGGAGGAGGAGGAGGAGGATGAGGAGGAGGAGGGGGAGGAGGAGGAGGAAGAAGGGGGGAGGAGAGAGAGAGGAGGAGAAGGAGGAGGAGGAGGGAGAAGGAGGGAGGAGGAGGAGGAGGAGGAGGAGGGGAAGGAGGGAGTAGAGAGGAGGGAGGAGGGAGGAGGAGGGGGGAGGAGGAGGAGGGAGGAGGAAGGAGGAAGAGGAGGAGGGAGGAGGAGGAGGAGGAGGAAGAGGAGGAGGAGGGAGGAGGAGGGAAGAGGGTGAGGCTGCAGTATAGGAACAGAGCGACTTTTCTGGTAACGGCGAGGCTCGGCCACGCAAAGACTCCCCGACCCTGGACCAGTGAGGAGCGGCCCGAGACAAAGGGCCGGCCCGTAGCCCAGAGAGGGGCCTCGCTTCGGCGTCCTCAGGGAACAAAAAGACTGACAAAAACATGATGTGACCGACCCCCGAACTCGAATTGTGATTGCGCTTCGCCGCGCGTGGGCGCAACCCTTCTGGCCTTGTGCTGATCGCAGCAGCGGGGGCAGCATAGCCAGGACTAGGGGAACGAAAAATGGCATAAACATGACTCGGAGGTCCGCGCGGACTTCTCGGATCCGCGCTGGGGCCCCCTGGCGGCGCCTCCGTCGCCGCCCCTGGCGTGCTCCGCGCGCCCGGGAGGGGGGTCGAGCGCGGATCCAAAAGATCCGCGCGGACCTCCGAGTGGTTATGTTTATGTAACTTATCGTTCCCCTGGTCCTGGCTGTGCTGCCCCCGCTGCTCCGATCAGCACAAGGCCGGAAGGGTGGCGCCCACGCGCGACGAGGCGCAATCACAATTCGAGGTCCGGGGGTCGACTACAGAATGGATCTACCTCAAAGTTGATTGGTTCGTCGAAGCCCTGCAAAAGACGTATAATGTCCATAGATCTACGAACATTCTACGTAGTTTCGGCCTCAGTGAAAAATCAAGTCTGGTGCAAATCATTTATGTAGTCGACACACTACTCGAACAACTGAGCGCCAGCACTGGAAAATCGACATTGATTTCGCGTCGAATCTACAAGACACACGTACAATGCTCCATAGATTTACCGACGAATCTACGTATTTGCTCATGGGTTCGATGAAACAACAATGTTGGTAAAAAACAATTATGTAGTCGATCCCCTACTTGAGCCCTCTCATGACGAGTAGGATGATGATGCCCCGTGTGCGCTCGAGACACCAGCCACTCCAAGGTGTGAGCGACGGGCGTCTTCTTGTCGTTGGGCGGGCGCGGTGGAACGCGTCCGAGGTCTCTCTCTCTCTCTCTCTCTCTATCTCTCGCGTCTGAGCCGGGTGTTGCTAGAAGTGCCCCTGGGCCAAGGTACCCCCAGCTTTTCGCGCCATTTTGGAGCCCCTGGGGCCCTCTGGGCCTCGTGAGGGGTGCCTTGGAGGCCGTCTGGGCCACCCCGCGAATCCTGGGGGTACCTTGGGCCAGGGGTGCTTCTAGCAACACCCGACTGGAATGTCTCTCTCTCTCTCTCTCTCTCTCGCTGACTGGACAATCCCTGCAGACTGCCGGCACCCAGCGGGCAAGGCATACACACACACACACTGGCCTCGCCCGCTCCAGCGGCCGACCCGCCTGGCGCGCCGCCCGCTCTGCGCTGCGCCGTCCGCCCGTGCTGCTCGGGGCAGGGCGACTCGAGACAACGGCAGCTCATAATCGGCTGCAGGTAAGAGTGAGCCTGGGCAAGAGTGACCCTTGGTGCGCGGCTCTTTGGGGGGGCGCGAGGAGGCCAAACGCAAGTGCGCAAGACGCCACTGTCGCACCGAGCGCGGCGATCGGAGGACCCCAGCGAGCGCGCACCAAAGGTCCCTCCGGCGAAGGGTCACTCTCACGTGCAGTCGACAGAAGCGGTCCCCGAACCCGTCCCGGGCTCGAAACGCACTAGTCTCCGAGCTGCGTTCCGCCGTGGCCACAAGGGGGCCCCCCGAAGGCCAGCTGCCGCAGCCTCCGCTCGCCCTCTGGGCCCAGACCCTCGAGCTCGTCCAATGCCTTCAGCACGTGGATCCCGGGAGGTCGGGACCCCGTCCTGGGGGCCAGCCCTTCACCATGAGCCGCTCTTTGCTGGACGGCCCCGAGGCCCGGTGAGCGCGACACCTTCCGCCGTGGTCCTGTTGGTGACCCGAGGGGGGCACGGGAACGATCGAGGGCTGGACGCCCCCTCGGATCGCCCTCCCCTCACCTGCTGCGCCACCCGTGCTGCGCCGCCCTCCCGTCCAACGGCGGGGCCCCCAAACCGCGTGGTGATGAACCGCGCGGTGACCTCGGAGTCCCCAACGATCTCGCCGCGCGGTCCGCCACCGCGCGGTCCCGTGACCTCGGAGGCTCGGGCCGCCCGAGGCCTCCTCGGAGAACGGCCCGAGCCCCCCAAGCCGCCCGGTGACGCCGAAGCCCCGCTGACTCACCACGCGGGGAGGTCACCACACCGTCTGGGGGCCCCCGACTCTCGCGCCCGTGCCCCCAAATGCCGCCCCTTGGCCCCGACCTCCGACACACGACCTCGTTCAACGGGGCGGCCCCCCGGAGCAAAACGGGGCGGCGCCGTCATGTGGACCCCGTCACTGGGGCCTTCGGTGGAGCTCCCTCGGGGGCCAGGGGCCGTGTGAGGGGTGCGCCCAAATGGGGTGGGGCCGCCATGTGGACCATGCCGCTGGGGCCTTCGGTGTAGCTCCCTACGGGGCCGCAAAGCTTGCACTGGGTGCGCCGAAACACAAACATGCCCGCGACTGATCCCCCGGCGCGGGCCAGCCTCTGAGGCAGGGGCGTGCAGACGCCCCGCCCAGGGGCCCAGAGGGCAGAACCAACAAGCGCCCGTCGTGATGCTTGCTCGACGCCCAGGGCTCTGGCTACCTCCCTTCCCCCTCCTCCCCCCGCCTTCCCCCTCCTAGCTCCTCGCCCCCCTCCTCCTCCGCCCCCTCCTCCCCTCGCTTCAGAAATGAGCACGTCTTCACGACACTGCCATCGTCCGCCGCCGCCTCCCCCGTCCTCCTCGCCCCGCCCCGTTCCTCCCCCCCACCCTCCTCCTCCCCCCTCCTCCAGGCACTCCCCCTCGCTCACTTGCCGCCCCCCCCCCCCCCCGCAGGGCGGGGCGCGCGGGTGTCGGCGGGGGCGGAGCTCCACGTCGCCCGGACGTCTCTTCCATGTGCATCCGTCGGTGTCGTGCGTGCATTGTGTCGCAAGGTGACCCCAACAGACTCCTCGAGGGCCCTCGCCGCAAACAACAATGCCCTCCGACGCTACGCCTGATTCAGCGCGCGGCCCCAGAGGTCCCCCGATCCCTTCCGCGGGGCCCAGTGTCTCGCCCCCTCCGTTTGCTCCTCCCCTCTTCCTCCTCCTCCGCCTCCTCCTCGTCCTCCTCCTCCGCCTCCTCCTCCTCCTCCTCCTCGTCCTCCTCCTCCGTTCCTTCGTACGTCCGCTGGCGCTCTTGCGCGCGCGCGCGCTTGAAACGAGAATCGCGGGCCTCAGGGGCGGCAATCGAACAAAATAAGAGTCCAGACCGGAGAACGGCTGCCAGCGCACTGGAGAGACACATGGCTGGATTCACACCTGGGACCTCTCGAGGCCCCCTGCTGGATTTTTCACTGTGGGGTGCCACCGTGCCTTCGGCCGATGCAGGGCCGAGCGCCGCAAAGACATCTGCACACATGTGTCGATATTCGGCCGCGCCATCCCCCCGCGCCTCCACCTCCTCCTCCTCCTCCTCCTCCTCCTCCTCCTGCTCGCTCTTTCCTCTGGGGCCTCCCGCGCAAGGTGGCACAATCTGCTCTAACGGCATCCTCGTTTAGGCCTCCGTCGCCAGCGCAGAGGTCCCCTGCCTAGCCGCGTGACGCAACAAGTGTAAGCACTCAGCCCTCACTCAAGCCAGCCACGTCGTGTGCATCAAACTTGCTGGTATGGTCGGAGATCCTGAATTCTGGGTTTCTCGCGGAGGGCGGTGCTCCCGCTCGGGCCACCCGCACATCTCGCCTGCCCACGAGGAGGAGGAGGAGGAGGAGGAGGAGGAGGAGGAGGGAGGAGGAGGAGGAGGAGGAGACGGACGAGGGGAGGAGGAGGAGGAGAGGAGGAGGAGGAGGAGGAGGAGGAGGAAGGAGCGAGGCAGAAGGGAGCATGAGGAGGAGGAGGAGGAGGAGGAGGAGGAGGAGGAGGAGGAGGATCAGGAGGAGGAGGCGCATGAGGAGGAGGAGGCGCATGAGGTGGAGGAAGAGGTGGAGGAGGAGGAGGAGGAGGAGGAGGAGGAGGAGAAAGAGGAGCTCCGTCCCCCGTCCGGTGAGGCGCCTGGCGGCGGTGACGACCAGCCGGCGGCGGCCACCTGCGGCAGCGGCGCCCGGCAGAGGCGCCGCGGCAGAACGTGCGCACGCCGGGTGCAGATCGCAGCCGGAGCACTGCCCGCAAGGAGCGCTGCCACCCCGAGATGTACACCCTGCGAAATGCTTAAGAAATCATGGGTTAAGAAATTCATAGTCTCAGAACTTGAAGGAACACCCAACGTTTCTATTAAAATCTTAAGCTTTACATTGAAACGTTAAGAATAATCGAGACTCTGGACGAAAACTTAGGTTTTCTTAAGCATCGCCTAAGGTGTAGGTCGAGCATGTCCCCCTACAGGCAGATTTCGAAAGAAACATAAGCAATGGCCACAGCATGCTCAAACATAGCCAACACATTGTCAACAAGGAGTCCCCAACACATGTTAAAAAAACTATGTTCGAGTATTCCGCCTGTAGAGAGACAGGCCCCACTTAACCCGAGATCGGGACGGCGCATTTTTCTTCGAGCCGGTCACTTTCACATCATTTCTGGCCTCGGGACTCTCACAGGTCAATGCAGCTCGAAGAATGCGGCAAACAGAAGGGGTCTCGGAGGCTCTGGCCGTGAGATTTTCCATGTGTTATGTTTTTCTCCCCCCTGTCGTCGGCATCTCAGAACAAGGAAGTGATTTCGGGGCGTTTCTGGTCACGTCGGCGGCGACGACAAGGACGAATAGCCCAGGGGCGGGCATTACACGTGTTCGCCCGGGAGCCTTTTCGACAACACAGATCATCGCCGCACCTGACTACGTGTGTTGCTCTCCACTGGGCTATTCGCCCCTCTCGTCGCCTCTGGTCACGGCGAGCCTTGGCAACGCATCGGCTCCGCTCCCCAACCTGGAATCAGGCAGCGGCCAGAGAACCAGCTCCCCCCCTGAGCCCAAAGCGGCACTGCGTTCGCCGGCCTGGCTGCAGTGAAGGGGCCCAGGGACACACGAATAGATTTGTACAAATCCCAGGACTCCCGGTGTTTTCACATATGTTCTGGGTGTCTTTCTCCCCCCCCACCTCCCCTCTTTTCGCGCATCTTCCTCGGAATCGACGATGCATTCTATGTGTGCTTGTTCCCCTCCGGATGCAGTCACGCCGACTCCTTTGAGAAGCTTCGAGCAGAACGGCCTCGGGGCCACCGCGCGGGCCCCTCCTGGGCTCAAAACGGCCCTGCTGCTCCCAACGTCTTGGCTGCAGGGCGATCGAAGAGAAGACTCCTTGGGAGGAGGCGCGAAGCGGTCAAGTGGACTCCGAGAGTGCAGAGAAACCTGGCGCCCTCGACCCACGCAGGCTGCGTCTCCGTCCTGGGCCACTGTGCTGATGGCCACGGGCCCCGGAGGCGGCAACACACCGGAAGCGCTGCTGAGCACCACTCGCCCTTATCCTCCTCACACGCAGCTCGGAATGGCAGTCCAGGGCCACCAAATCATCCACCTCTGCCCGCTGCAGCGAAAGGCCACACACACACAGTTCGCGCAGCAACATCCGGAGACTCGCAACCATCTGAGGGCGACCGAGCAAGCCCTAGTTTTTTGTTTGTCCAGGTGGGTCCACTCGCACGATCATCCTTCTCCCCGCTCCCCTCTCTCTACCAGCCTGGAACATGTCCCTATCCCCATGCTGGGCACCTCCTCATCACGATGCCAATCTTAGGGATTCCCTTATTTTTTCAGGGCGAATCCCGATTGTCATCGCCGACGCCAGCGTGAGGCGAATCGGGGCCACCGAGAGGCGAATTGCCCGGCGTGCAAGAGGAAGGAAGGGAGACGAGAGCGGCCGCGCGAGGGGAGGAGGGGGGAAACGCTCGGACGTGGAAGGGTTCCGCGAAGAGCAGGCTGGAGCGGCCAGCTGGGGCAAGCCTCCTGACGCCACCGACGGCGGCGGCTGGGCGGCCCAACCGAACCGCGGCTGGGCGGCCGAGCCTCTCACGGACGCCCCTGGGGCGCGCTCTGGCCGGGGCTTCGCTGTGGGCGGGCTCACGGCCGTCGTGGCACCAGGGGGCCCCCTGGGCGTCCAGGAGGTCGGTGAACCGTCCGGCCCACAGCTCCGACGCCCCGAGAACACAACGGCAACTTTCGGTGGCAACCCATGGGAGCCTCCCACACCATCTTGCCGGCTCTTGCGAATCGACGCTGATCGAAGATAAGTCGAGGCTGATCGACGCTGAATCGACGCTGAATCGACGCTAGATCGACGCTAACCGACGCTCGCAGACGCTATACCAGCGCTGCCTCATCGACTACCATATGCTAATCGACGCGAGTCGACGCTAAAGACGGACTTGAAAGGATACACCAGGCTCTCGCGATTTGCTACAGAAGGCACCATGTGTTCTCGCAGTGTAGGCCCGAGGGTGGCGGCCACTGCTAGGCCCAAGGGCCCTCCCAGAACATCCCGCGGCACAGAAGTTGTTCCCAGGGATGGGCTCGAGAGCTCTGGGAGTCCAACGCGCGAGCAACAATCATGTCGGAGGGTCTGGGTGGCCAAGGGAGCGGCCTTCGCGCAAGGCTTCCCGCTTCTCACCAGGTCTGGCCACATTGCTTACGACGGGTTGGTCCCTCCCAAGATGGCCCCTGCCTTCTTGCTTGTAGAACAAGGCCCTCCTCGCCTTGCCCCCCCCCCCCCTCTTGCGCGCCGCCGCTGATGGGCTACCATCACATGGGCACCAATCCTTCGTCCCGTCGTTGTCGCGATCCTTTCTCGTTGTCCGTAGTTCGTCGTCCGTTGTTCACAGCTGGTTGTTCGTCGTCAACCGTTCGCTGTCTGTCGTCCGTCGTTCGCCGCTCGTCGCTCACCGTCGTCGCCGCTGATGACGTCGCCGCCCGGGCCGCCCTGGCCCTTCCTGGGTTTCGTCCATGTCGCCTTTCCAAGCCGTGCCTCGCCGCGGCGACGAGAGCCACCAGAAACGACCACGGACCTCAAGCACAAAGACGCCCCCGCCGCCGCCGCCGTGGCCGCCGCGGCCGCCGCCGTCGCCATCGCCGCCGCCGTCGCCGCTGCCGCCGCCGTGGTCACCCCCGCCCCCGATGTCGCCGCCGCCGCCGTGGTCGCCGCACCTGGCATCGCCTCTGCCGCCGTGGTCGCCGCCGCCGTCGCCGCCGCCGCCGTTGCCGTGGTCGTGGTCGTGGTCGTGGTCGTAGTTGTGGTGGTGGTGGTGGTCGTCGTCGAGGTCGTCGTCGTCGACGTCGTCGTCGTCACGGTCGTCGTCGCCGCCGCCGCCGCCATCGCCGCCGCAGCAGCCGCTGCCGCTGCCGCCGCCGTCGTCGCCACAGTGGCCGCAGCCGCGGGAGCGCGGAAAGGAAGCGTCAAGCGGCGGCGTCCTGCGCGGCGCGACGCGGGCTCAGCGATCGCGCCAGCCGCAGCTGCGGGGTGGCCCAGGCGGCGGGCGGGCCGGGCTCCACGGCCTCCCAGGGCCTCGCCGGGCGGGGAGGGAGTGCTTCTGCCCGCAAAGCTGGCCTCCTCCTCCTCCTCCTCCTCCTCCTCCTCCTCCTCGTCCTCCTCCTCCTCCTCCTCCTCCTCTTCCTCCTCCTCCTCCTCATTTCCTCCTCCTCCTCCTCCTCCTCCTCCTCCTCCTCCTCCTCCTCCTCCTCCTCCCCCTCCATCTCCTCCTTCTACTGCTCCACCTCCTCGACCTGAGCATCGAACTAAGAACCAGGCGACACCTGGAACGTTCGCTCCAGGAGTCGCTGGTCGGCGGGGATTAGAAGTAACAGTAGCGCGACAGACAGGCAGGAGGAAGAGGGGGAGAGGAGGGAGGAGGAGGTATATGACCAGGAGGGATGAGAGGGGAGAGGGTGGCGGCCGCGACCGCGGTCCACTCTCGCCAAAGTGGAAGGCTCAAGAGCCGATACCCCTGCTCGTAGGACCCCCCCACAGGCGTCCCCAAGGTCAACGAGGGGATCCCCCGCCTGCAAGCAGGCGCAGGGCTCCCACTGCGTTGACTCGGGGGCCGCCTGGGGGCGATCCCCCGAGTGTGGGACAGGTTTGAGCCTTCCTTCGCGGTGGTTTGGTCGAAGGTGCGAGCGCAGCTTGCCTTTGGGGGTGGCGGCGCGGGGTAATGCTCGTACTCGTCCTCCTCCCTCCTCCTCCTCCTCCTCCGCCTCCTCGTCCTCCTCCTCCTCCTCCTCCTCCCTTCTCCTCCTCCGCCTCGTCCTCCTCGTCCTCCTCCTCGTCTTCTTCTTCTTCTTCCTCCTCCTCCTCCTCCTCCTCCTCCTCCTCCCTTCATCCACCCCAGGCCTCAAGGGCGCCAAGCTTCCAGGCCGCCGTGGGATTCCGCGACGGCGGAGACAGCCAGCCCTCAGACTCGGGCCCTGCAACTGTTCCACACCCGGCGTGTTCGCCCGGTCGCGGGCCCCGCCTTCCTGTGCCCTGTCTCCCTAATTCAAGCTGTGCGTAGCCCGCCTGGCTGTTAGCGGAAGAGGTCCGCTCTCGCCCCGCAGATCAAAAAGTGTTCGCCCGGTCGCGGGCCACGGGGCTCGATCCAGCTGGCAGGGGCTCGATCCAGCGGGCCACGGGGCTCGATCCAGCCCGCAGCGGGGTCCGGGGTTCTGGCAGAGAGTTTCCGCGAGGCGGCGTTCTTCTCTCGCAGCGACGGATCTCGGGGTCCCCCGCATCAAAAGGTCGGCGCGGTTGGACTTCAAGAATGGAGCTCCTGACCCGCCTGGCGCACCATGTCCACCCCTGCCGCTGGGCCTGGCTTGGGTGGCAACAAGTGCTGACAACTGCCACTACGCTTCAATCGGGCCTGTCCCTCCACAGGAGGAATACTCAAACATGGTCAAAAAAAATCTGGGGACGCTTCTTTGAGGATGTTCGAAGATTTGTCGATTTCTGTTTGACTATTTTTTTCTGTGCCGTCCACGCTCCGCCTGTAAGAGGACACGCCCGGCCTAACGCTGCGCCCCAGAGCTTTCTAAGGGTGCGCTTCGCGGCGTCTGCGGCCGTGGCGCCGAGGCAAGGGCGGCGGCATCGGGACGGCCGCCCATGCCCATCAGCTCCACGGTGCTTCTGCGCCCCCTATGACCCCCAGATCGTCCAACTCTCGGGTCATATACGTAGCACCCCGCAGATGCGGATAAGAGTGAGGGGGCGGCGGGGACGTCGGCAGTCTGCGAGACTCTGGAGAAGCCCGCCGCAGGCGCCAAAGTTCCACAAGTTATACAAAGAGCCCGCCGCGGGCGCCGATTGTTTCTTCAAACCAATGTGGATCGGTCGCGGGTGGGTCGTGGGTGGGTCGCGGGGTGGGTCGCGGGTGGGTCGCAAATGGGTCGCGGGTAGGTCTCGGGTGGGTCGCGGATGGATCGCGGGGTGGGTCGCGGGTGGGTCGCGTCGTGGGTCGCGGGTGGGTCGCGGGTGGGTCGCGGGGTGGGTCGCGATGTGGGTCGCGGGGTGGGTCGCGGGTGGGTCGCGGGGGGGGGCAACTACAAAAAACAACAACAACACCAACAACGACAACAACAACGACGACGACAACAAGCAGAATCCTTACCACGGATTCTCACTTCAGCCACGCGCCCAGGGACAAAGAATGACCGTTCGGCCCGCTCGCTCTGATCTCGGCTCTCGGGCGGCCGTTCGGGATGATCTGGGCAGTTCCGAGGGGGCATCGCCGAGGCGCAGCTGCTGGAAGGCGTCCCGAGGCTGGGCAACTGCCGAGAGCCAACGACAACGTTCACAAACCAAAGAACGCACCAATGGAAGTACCCAAACCCGGTGGTGCCAACGACGCATCCCACATGTATCCACAACTCACAGGATGCGTCATACCATCTTGCAAATGCGTTGTCACGTTCGGTAGATATGCCATGACATGACGCATCCTGTGCGTTGTGCAGACGTTGTCGATGCGTCGGAGGCGCCTCTGGGAAGCAAACAGGAGGAGGAGGACGAGGAGGAGGAGGAGGAGAAGGAGCAGGAGGAGGAGGAGGAGGAGGAGGAGGAGGAGGAGGAGGAGGAGGAGGAGGAGGAGGAGGAGGAGCGCCCCGGCCCGGCGGCGTCCTGAGCGAGCCCCGCGACGCCCGCGCGGCCAGCTGCGGGGTCCACGGCGGCCGGCTCCCCGGCGGTGTCCACGGCCGCGGCAGCCTATGCGAAGGGCGGACCGGCGGGCGCCCCGAAGAGCTCGGCTCCGGCGGTTGCCAGAGCCGAGCCCTCGAGGCACCGACGGCGACGACGACGACGACGACGACGACGACGACGACGACGACGAGGACGACGACGACGACGACGACGACGACGGCGACGACGACGACGACACCGACCACGATGACGACGACGCCGGGGTCCACGGCCGCGACGGCGCCCGCGGCGGCCGACCGGCGGGTGCCCCCTGGATCGGGTAGTCCTGGACCAAGTGTATAGAGAGCAGAAAAACTAAAGGGGCCCAGGGGGTCACAAATGAACAGGCACAAATCCACATTTTCCCGATGCGTTCACATATGTTCTGGGTGTTCGTCTTCCCCCCCATTTCCCATATTCTCCATATCTTCCTGGAGGATTCATTGTGTCTGTGTGTGTCTTTCCCCCTCCTGAAAAAACTACCCTCATCATCAACAACCCGACAAGGAAAGGAGTTCCGTAAACGGACCCAGAGAGAGAATCGAACGGGGAAGGGCAACGCCCAATGCAAGATAGCAAACGCCAATGATCGGGTTCGGGGTGGTCATGCCTCCCTTGAAAATAACCCTGGGCTATTCGCACCATTTTGCAAACGGTTGGGACTGCTGGGCCTCCCAGGGGGTGCTCCGAGGGCCATCCTTGGGCCTCATCGGGAATCCTGGGGACACCTTGGACCAAGGCCCTGCGGACAGTCAATATATACATATAGAGGCATATCATATGTATAACATTTGATTCATAACCCGTATATCATATGTCCACATATCTTTACGACCACCCTACGGGTGATCATGAGGTTGGGGGGGCAGGGAGCCAGCAATGGGAAACTATCGATCTCGCTATCGATCTCACTATCGATGTCGCTTTCGATCTCACTATTCATCTCACTATCGATTCCACTATCGATCTCGCTATCGATCCCACTCGATCGATGTCACTATCGATCTCACTTTCGATCTCACTATCGATATCACGATCGATATCACTGTAGATCTCACTATCGATCTCTCACTATAGATCTCACTATCGATCTCACTATTGGTCTCATTATCGATCTCACGATCGATCTCACTATCGATCTCACTGTCGATCTCACCACGGGACACCACGGAACAACGACGGGACACCGGCGGGACACCAGCGGGACACCAGCGGGACACCGGCGGGACACCGCGCGCCACCGGTTGCCGAGCGGAGAATCTTTTGGTCTGGCCGCGGCCCAGCCACGACAGGACACCAGCGGAACACCAGCGGGACACCAGCGGGACACAGGCGGGACACCGCGCGCCACCGGTTGCCGGGCGGAGAACCTTTTGGTCCAGCCGCGGCCCAGCCACAGGAGAATTTCCTCTCCCCCGCCCACGCAGCTTCGCCTCGCCTGCACGCGCGGCACGTACACGAAACCGGAATCGATTTCCCGGTAGGGGGGCTCTCCGTTCCACTTCGATCTCACCCCCCAACCTCCGATTTCGTTCATTTTGCAAGGGATTGGGGGGCCGTTTGGGCTCGTCTTTTGGACCCCTTGGGGGGCTCTTGGGGGCTTCTTAGGAGCCTTTTTGGGCTTCTTGGGGGCCTCTTGGGGCCTCCCAGGAGCTTCTTGGAGCGACCCTTAAGAGCCTGTTCCGCCAACGTTCGTACTGGGAGCCTTGGTGTTCAGAGATTGTTGCGTTGCCGCTTGTTCTTGGCACAGCATACAGCACGGGATGTCGATGTGCCTGACGATTTGCATGTGCATTTGCATATATCGATGTGCATGCCGATTTGCTTTTCGATCTGCATTTCGATCTGCATTTCGATTTGCATCTCACTATCGGTCTCACTATCGATCCCACGATCGATCTCACTATCGACCTTACGATCGAGCTCACTCGATCGATCTCACTATCGGTCTCACTCGATCGATTTCACTGTCGATCTCACTATGGATCTCGCTATCGATCCCACTCGATCGATCTCACTATCGATATCACTCCATCGATCTCACTATCGATCTCAGTATCGATATCACTCCATCGATCTCACTATCGATCTCACTGCCGATCTCTCTATGGATTTCACTCGATCGATCTCACTATCGATCTTACTCGATATCACCATAGATCCCACTGTCGCTCTCACTATCAATCCCACAACCGATCTCACCATCGATCTCACTCGATCGATCTCACTATCGATCGCACTATCGATTTCACAATCGATCTCACAATAGATCTCACTATCGGTCTCACTATCGTTTGCGCACCAACGGGACACCGGCGGGACACCGCGCGGCCCCGTTTGCCGGTCGGGAAACATTTGGTCAGGCCGCACCTCAGCCACAGGAAACTTACCGGGACACCAGCGGGACACCGGCGGGACACTGGCGGGACACCGCGCGGCCCCGTTTGCCGGGGGGGGAATCATTTGTTCCGGCCGCGCCTCAGCCACAGGGGACTTTCCTCTCGCCCGCCCACGCAGCTTCGCCTCGCCCGCACGCACGACACGCACGAACACAAAACCGAAACCGATTTCCTGGTGGGGGGCTCTCCGTTCCACTTCGATCTCCCCCCCCCAACCTCCGATATACATGTATCTGTATCCATGCCCATTTCCGTAGCCATACCCATACCCATATCCACATCCACTGCGTCGTGGACTTTCTGGGAAGGAGCGCCAAAATATCATCCTGATCCACTGCTCGGATTTCCGGGGTAGGGAGCCCGAACCAGAAAGACGCCGTGAATATGGATACAAACCATGCCCGCACTCCCCAGACTCCCGACGTTCTGATTTCTCATGATGCTGACCCCCAGAGGTCTAGACCCCTTCCGTGGGAGCTGTCTTCTTTTTCAGACATGGGGGCCATGAGTAACCCCAATCCCGTGGTCGTCCTGATGATGGGTTGCTATCACCACGGGCGGGCCCATCGGCCACCCAGCGCGACACTGAGGCCACGCACGAGACGGCACTCGAGCAGAACAAAAATAGCCTGGAAGAGAACTCAACCCTTTCTAAACTCGTGGCGGCTACAAGCAGGACCGTTCAATCCACAATAACAAACAGAACGATCGCTCCGTCGAAGAACGTCAGACCGCACTCAGCGTGCCCCATGCACGCACGCACTCTCGATGCTCAGATCGCAAACGGGAGGGGACCACGAAGAGTGTGAGGGGTGCGCCGAACTGGGGGGCCGACGCCATGCGAACCCAGCCACTGAAGCACTCGATGGAGCTCCCTCCACGGCCACGAAGCGTGTGCGGGGTGTGCCGACATGGACCCGAGTCCACGTGCAAGCCCGGCCACTGGGGCCTGCGGTGGAGCTCCCCTATGGGGCCACGAGGCGTGCGAGGGGTGTGCCGACATAGGGCGGGTCGTAGTGTGAAGCCAGCCGCTGGGACCTTCGGCCCGGGCGCGGGCTCCGAAGCCCCCCAGGCTCACGAGGGTCATCGAACACGACGGCCCGCGACGCCTACGACGACGTGGCCCTCGTGAACGTCGACGTCGGATGAGTCAGACGCGTCGACAACGTCGACGACGTCGACGGCGCCGACGTCGACGGAGGTCGACGGCATCGACGTCGTCGGCATCGACGACGCCGTCGTCGTCGACGACGGCGGCCACCGTCGACGGCATCGACGTCGCCAGGGGCGTCGCGCCGCGGCAACCGCCAGCGAAAAAGGCAGGGGTGGGCCCTGGGCGGCGTCCAGGGGCAGATTTCGAGCAGGTGTGAGCAAAAGGCAGCAGGGCCGCCGTCGTCTCCACTGGCCCTCCTCCGAATCCTGGGGCCCCGCATTCCGCATGGGACCTGTGCGTGTGAGCGTCCCCATCCACGCGTGTTCAGCGGGAAGCGCTCTTGGGGGCCCCCTGTGAGTGGCGGGGCGGCATCAATTACTTACCCAGTGTCCTCCTCTGGAGGCCTCCTAGATCCTAGACGGGATCCGAATAGGTGGGGTCGGAGTGTCTCACCGCATCGCCGATACATCGGCGATACATCGCCGACGTATCGGCGATGCATCGGCCATGTAAAAGCGACGTCTGCGATGCATCGGCGACGCCAGCGTGGGGAGAACATTGGACCCCCTTCGAGCACCATCGCTGTTGCATCGCCGCTGCATCGGCGATGCGGCGCGATCCTCCGACCCCAGCTTTTCCGACCCCACCTAGGAGGCATAGATCTTACCTTAGGTCGAGCATGTCCTCCTACAGGCGGATTTTCGACGATAAGCAAAACATGTTCTAGAACATATCCAACAAATATTCAGCAAAACACCCGTACTAATGATAATAAGAATAACGCTTCGAAATGATAAGAACATCGACCCCGTTTTTTGACAAATTCTGTTTGAATGTTCCTCCTGTGGAGGGACATGCCCGACTCAAGCCTGGATCTTCCCCAAACACGCCCGTGCGCCGCGACGCGAAAACCACGACAGGCGCCAAGGGTGAGGGGCAACGATAGGTTGGGACTGGCATTGGGGGGGGATGCATCGACCTGGAATCGGCGATACATCGCCGGTAGATCGGCGATGGGCCTCCGATCGTGAATCCGCACCTTCATGGGCAGGTTGGGGCTATCGGGCCCCTATCGGTGATCAATCGGCGATTGTGGGTCGATTGCGTCCCCCCCTATGCCCATCCCCCCTATCGTTGCCCCAGAAGCAGCCGTCCAGGGGGTCTGCTGACCCGGGTCGATCAGAACCGGGTCAGCAGGAAACCCAAAAAACTGCAATGCGTACAGAAGAGAAGCAAACAAAACGGCAACGCAGGGCTTCGCAAACCCGGGTCGACCAACATGCGCGGCCGCTTCGCGGCTCGCTGACCCCCTATCGTTGCCCTGGCCATCGCTCGGACGTCCCTTCCCTGTGTTTGTTTTGGTTCCGTGCGTGGCTTCTTCGCCAAATGATCAAGGATGCTCCTCGATGGTCCTCGCCGAAAGAAACGTCATCTTGACACGTGATGATGGTTTTCTGAACATAACTCGAGCTTTA